GGGGAGGATGGTTGGTAGAAGGGAGTCAGTAAAGGGGGCGGGGAGGATTGTTGGTAGAAGGGAGTCAGTAAAGGGGGTGGGGAGGATGGTTGGTAGAAGGGAGTCAGTAAAGGGGGCGGGGAGGATTGTTGGTAGAAGGGAGTCAGTAAAGGGGGTGGGGAGGATGGTTGGTAGAAGGGAGTCAGTAAAGGGGGCGGGGAGGATTGTTGGTAGAAGGGAGTCAGTAAAGGGGGTGGGGAGGATGGTTGGTAGAAGGGAGTCAGTAAAGGGGGTTGGGAGGATGGTTGGTAGAAGGAAGTCGGTAAAGGGGGTGGGGCGGATGGTTGGTAGAAGGAAGTCGGTAAAGGGGGTGGGGAGAACGGATGGTAGAAGGGAGTCAGTAAAGGGGGTGGGGAGGACGGTTGGTAGAAGGTATCTTACTTGTGTTAGGGTCTGGTATACGACTCTCGACTGTGAGTGTTAGTATTTACATGGTATCTTACTTGTGTTAGGGTCTGGTATACGACTCTCAACTGTGAGTGTTAGAAACAAACACATGCACTTACATGGTTTCTTACTTGCGTTAGGGTCTGGTATACGACTTTCGACTGACGGAGGAACCTTGTCTCCAATCACCTCCACACACTCACTCGGGAAAAACCCAACCTGAATTAAAAGAACCTTGTGGGTTATTGGAGACATGAATAACTTGTTTATACACAAGTGCATATCTTCATTAAAAAAAGTGGACATTTTTTGACACTCCTTACTACATAAACTGTCAGGATTTTGAAGACAAATCTACAGTAATGTATACAGTGGAGCATTGATAATATGCGAGATGACAGAATTAGTAGCACGGTTTTGTTTAGAACAATCAAATCTGTCCCCAGTGTATACTGGCTTGATAGAGGAACAGCTGAATTAGCGGTCACTGGATTAACAAATTTCAACTCTTATTACTAAATGTGTACAAATGTTTGGAGGTGAGTTAGTTAATGCAAAAAATTCCTAAACCCATTTTTTCTATGTTAACAGAGCATGGCTTTTTAAAGCCCAACTTAACACATTGTCAACAAACTTTTACAAAATGGAAAAGAAAATTTCACAAAATTTGCAAAAGTTAAAAACATTTTAGGAATTTCAAGTCCATAAACCTGTTCCATCTATAATCTAATTCAGGATTTAAAAGTCATCAGTTTTAATAATATCATGTAAAATGTGGATTTAGTGAGAGAAAACGTGTCCAAGCAAATGTATTGACACAATATGAAATACAACAGAGTAATGTAGAAACAGTCAATAGTTTATAGAGAGCTGTAACAAAACATTTCAACACAAATTCTGAACTTTCTCAGAAGTTGAGACAACATCTTAACAAATATAACCACAATTTGTCTACAAATTCATATTCTCGTTTCAAAATTTGATACTTTTTCAATGTTTTTTGTTTGTTTGTGTTTTACGTCCTATTAACAGCTATGGTCATTTTAGGATGTGCCAGGTTTTGGTGGTGGAGGAAAGCCGGAGTTCCCTGGAGACAAACTACCAACCTACGGCCAGTACCTGGCGACTGCCCAAGGTAGGTCTCGAACCCACAACCCAGTGGTGGATGGCTAGTGGTAGCAGGATGTCATACACCTTAACCACTTGGCCACCGCAGCACCCTTTTTCAATAAACAACATTACGAGTTAAATCCTGACTTTTACTGAAATAATCTGAAATTGACTTCACCTGTATAATTTTTTCTACCGTTACCTCAAACCCTCGCTTGCCTCGCCACCAGATGGTTTCCTCCTGTTGGGGCATGTCGATCACAGATACAATGTCTCCCACCTGTCACAGAGAAAACACAGCCTTCAAACAGGAACAATAAGTGGTATACTGACCACAGTTCATGTTTACTGGACAAGGAAACAAAATCTTTGTTAATTTCTAATTAGTGGCATATACCGACCACAGTTCACGATAACTGGACAAGGTAACAAAATCTTCGTTAATTTCTAATTATTGGTATATACCGACCACAGTTCATGATAACTGGACAAGGTAACAAAATCTTTGTTAATTTCTAATAAGTGGTATACCGACCACAGTTCATGTTTACTGGACAGGACACAAAATCTTTGTTAATTTCTAATTAGTGGGATACCGACCACAGTTCACGATAACTTGACAAGGTATCAAAATCTTTGTTAATTTCTAATTAGTGGGATACCGACCACAGTTCATGTTTACTGGACAAGGAAACAAAATCTTTGTTAATGTCTAATTAGTGGTATACCGACCACAGTTCATGTTTACCGGACAAGGTAACAAAATCTTTGTTAATCTCTAATTAGTGGTATACCGACCACAGTTCACGTTAACTGGACAAGGTAACAAAATCTTTGTTAACTTCTAATTAGTGGTATACCGACCACAGTTCATGTTTACTGGACAGGACACAAAATCTTTGTTAATTTCTAATAAGTGGTATACCGACCACAGTTCATGTTTACTGGACAGGACACAAAATCTTTGTTAATTTCTAATTATTGGTATATACCGCCACAGTTCACGATAACTTGACAAGGTATCAAAATCTTTGTTAATTTCTAATTATTGGTATATACCGACCACAGTTCATGATAACTTGACAAGGTAACAAAATCTTTGTTAATTTCTAATTATTGGTATATACCGCCACAGTTCACGATAACTTGACAAGGTATCAAAATCTTTGTTAATTTCTAATTAGTGGGATACCGACCACAGTTCATGTTTACTGGACAGGACACAAAATCTTTGTTAATTTCTAATTAGTGGGATACCGACCACAGTTCATGTTTACTGGACAGGACACAAAATCTTTGTTAATTTCTAATTAGAGGTATACCGACCACAGTTCACGATAACTGCACAAGGTAACAAAATCTTCGTTAATTTCTAATTATTGGTATATACTGACCACAGTTCATGATAACTGGACATGGACACAAAATCTTTGTTAATGTCTAATTAGTGGTATACCGACCACAGTTCCTGATAACTGGACAAGGACACAAAATCTTTGTTAATTTCTAATAAGTGGTATACCGACCACAGTTCACGTTAACTGGACAAGGTAACAAAATCTTCGTTAATTTCTAATTATTGGTATATACTGACCACAGTTCATGATAACTGGACAAGGAAACAAAATCTTTGTTAATTTCTAATAAGTGGTATACCGACCACAGTTCACGTTAACTGGACAAGGTAACAAAATCTTCGTTAATTTCTAATTATTGGTATATACCGCCACAGTTCACGATAACTTGACAAGGTATCAAAATCTTTGTTAATTTCTAATTAGTGGGATACCGACCACAGTTCACGATAACTGTACAAGGTAACAAAATCTTTGTTAAGTTCTAATTAGTGGTATACCGACCACAAGTCATGATAACTGGACAAGGACACAAAATCTTTGTTAATTTCTAATTAGTGGTATATACCTACCACAGTTCACGATAACTGGACAAGGACACAAAATCTTTCTTTATTCCTAATTTTTGGATGCAACTTCCACAATTATCTTTTGTTGAGCCTTCTTTCCAGTATGTACTAGTGTTAAGTGAAGCTGTTGGTTATTTATACGTGACTGTCCTGGTGGTTATTTATACGTGACTGTCCTGGTGGTTATTTATACGTGACTGTCCTGGTGGTTATTTATATGTGAATGTCCCTAAAGAGGGACTTGTATCTCTGCTAGTATTCAGATCTAGTAAACCAGCCTTCAGTTAATCATTTGTACCCCGTTAAGGCCCATGCTTTGGTCTGTAGTTTATATCTAGTTGATAAAGATTTCCCCTCCGACTCTCTTTATCAGTTAATCATGTGTACCCCGTTTAGGCCCATGCTTTGGTCTGTAGTTTATATCTAGTTGATAAAGATTTCCCCTCCGACCCTCTTTATCAGTTAATCATGTGTACCCCGTTTAGGCCCATGCTTTGGTCTGTAGTTTATATCTAGTTGATAAAGATTTCCCCTCTGGCCCTTTTTATCAGTTAATCATTTGTACCCCGTTTAGACCCATGCTTTGGTCTGTAGTTTATATCTAGTTGATAAAGATTTCCCCCCTGGCTCTTTTTATCCTGAATCAGTTAAAAACAATTCTGCTCTAATATCTAAGATTCAACTGCAACACAAAAACCAAGGAAGGAAAAAACCATTTTAACAGTACCTTGTCAAGTATCTTGACAGCTGACAAATTGGAGATAAAACAACTGCATTTAGAATTATTATAATTGTAAGAGACTTTCATATTTTTCTTCATTTTTACCCCCAATAATAAATGTTTCATTCTATGTCAGGGAAATTATTTTCATTGTAACTAAAACAGATTTGTAATGGTTATTTAAGTCTTCAGGGCCTGTTATGATATGAACCGTGAAATAAAGCAGTTTTCACTGATAAACCTGTAACGTAGAGATCTGGGCCTTTCCAATCCTGTAAAGACTGCAATAGTGTCATTCGGTATCACTAGTTAAGTTTTTTCAAAAGATTCCAAATTTCATTTCATTTTTTTTTAGTGAAAACAAATGGACCAAATTTTACCAATTTATCAGCTTATTAAATTTTGGCATCAGTATTTAGTTTTATTTTGAAGTTACTTGTTTTCCACCACTGACCAATCGCCAGGAAGTTTTACCTCAAGTGAGATTTCATCCGGAGCCTGGGCTGTGTAACGCTTGATGGCGTGTGCTGCAGCTATAGCGGGTGTGTTGATTCCAGAGTCATCCATCGCCAGCAAGCGGTTCCCTCGGTTGTCCAGCTGATGGACAATAACACTTATAATGTAAGGCATGTCTAGGAAAAGGTCTTCAATGTTTCGAGTCAGTCAGAGATGACAAACTGACTGTAACCATGTGGTACATAATATAATAGTCACATTATATATGATAGTCACATTATATATAATAGCCACATTATATATCATTTCCCTGTGTGTAAGATAGAGCTGTCCAGGGTAAGAAAGGGGTGAAGGAAATTTCTATCTTACACCCCATTTCACGTGACGTGACGTCACAATGGCTCAACAATGACGTGACGTCAAGAATTTGGAACTCTCCGTTGCCGCAATGCGGGAAAGGCGATGTGATGAAATTAAAACCTTTTATTATAAATGTACCGTACATGTTACAAAGATGTGATTAATTTCTTTGCACAAACAGTGTTTGCAAATATGGGGTATGCTTAATCTGGCTGGCTAATTTGTTTTCATTTAAAAAGCTCAGGGGGAAAATTGATATTTTCAAAATGGTGGCCATGCAGTCCAAACGCATTTTCATGGTCTCTGAACTTATGCTGGTGGTCGGAATGAGAGAGAAATACTCCTTCATGCACAGGGGTGTAGGAAAGGGGAAATCCAACCTCGGAATTTTCAAATTTGGCAAAACTCTCAGGTGGAATTTCCCTATCCTACACCTCCGTGCATGAAAGAGTCTTATATTATCCAAACAGTAATAATGCAGTGGTTGACACTGCCATGACCAAAACAACATCACATGGTCACTATCCAGTACACTTGATTTAAAGATCATTTAAAAAAGAAACCTTCATGACATTTTTGAGTTACAATGTCATAAGAAGATTATTAAATCTCCTGAAAAACAAGAGGCCCATGGGCCTGAACGGTCACCTGAGTCTATAGTATTTATTTTTGTTGTTGAAATATGTACCAATTTGAGTAAAAAATAGTATAATGTTAACTTTGTCAGGACCATGAGCTGATCATTCCTAGACCAATTTTAAGTGAGATCGGCCTATTAGAACTTAGTAGCAAAATAGCGGCCATGGCAGCCAAATTGTATTTCTGATTGACCCGAAAAATAACAACACTTTGTCAGGACCATGATTCGATCATTCCTACAAAGTTTCAGTTCAATCGGCCAAGTAGATCTTTACTTTAAGTTTGAAATAGTTTACCAAAATGGCAGCCGTGGTGGCCATATTGGATTTCTGATCGACCTGAAAAATAACAACACTTTGTCAGGACCATGAGTCAATCATTCCTACAAAGTTTCAGTTCAATCGGCCTAGCAGAACTTGACTTTAAGTTTGAAATATGTTTTCAAAATGGTGGCCGTGGCGGCCATATTGGATTTATGATTGACCTGAAAAATAACAACACTTTGTCAGGACCATGAGTCGATCATTCCTACAAACTTTAAGTTCAATCGGTCCAGCAGAACTTGACTTTAAGTTTGAAATAGGTTTTCAAAATGGCGGCCGTGGTGGCCATATTGGATTTCTGATCGACCCAAAAAATAACAACACTTTGTCAGGACCATGAGGCGATCATTCCTACCAACTTTCAGTTCAATCGGTCCAGCAGAACTTGACTTTAAGTTTGAAATAGGTTTTCAAAATGGTGGCCGTGGCGGCCATATTGGATTTCTGATCGACCCGAAAAATAACAACACTTTGTCAGGACCATGAGGCGATCATTCCTACCAACTTTCAGTTCAATCGGTCCAGCAGAACTTGACTTTAAGTTTGAAATAGGTTTTCAAAATGGCGGCCGTGGCGGCCATATTGGATTTCTGATCGACCCGAAAAATAACAACACTTTGTCAGGACCATGAGGCGATCATTCCTACCAACTTTCAGTTCAATCGGTCCAGCAGAACTTGACTTTAAGTTTGAAATAGGTTTTCAAAATGGCGGCCGTGGCGGCCATATTGGATTTCTGATCGACCCGAAAAATAACAACACTTTGTCAGGACCATGAGGCGATCATTCCTACCAACTTTCAGTTCAATCGGCCCAGCAGAACTTGACTTTAAGTTTGAAATGTAAAATGTTAACGGACGACGGACGACGGACGACGACGGACGAAAACGGATAGCAATAGGTCACTTGAGCTAAAGCTCAGGTGACCTAAAAATATTTGTTTTCTCACTCGGGATACTCAGTACTGCTGGTTTGATACTCTATTCCATGACTGTAGAAAGTCATAGTATCAAACCAGCAGTGAGTATCCTCTACATGTGTATGGAAACCATGTGTGGTAGAATGACCTGCTGTATACTAGGGGTCAAACCTGATGTAGAGCCTCAAACATGTGGATTTCTTCATACGTCTCCTCAAACTAACAAGCCATTTGGACTGATAGGTCTCGCCTGTGCACCACTTTGACCATCAAGGCACATGTCAAGTTTGGTTGGTCTAACAGTTATAGTTTCAGAGAAATCAGCCGCATCCAGCATTTGATGCATGAGCACTTATAACTTCAGTGAAACTAACTTAAATGCAAAAACTTAATGTTGACGCCAGAAAAGCGACACCTTGGTCCTGCTACTTCGTGACAAAAACGACTATCAAATTGATCCTACTCACCTCAAACCAGTTGAGTACCGAGCCACAGTTGATCATGCTGCCTGCGATGCGAGAGAATCTCTGTAGATACAGCGACAACATTTCCTCCATCTCCTGTAACAGTGTATAAACGCTGATAACTAGAGCAGAGACCGGGGGTCACAGTTCAATAGTTTGAAGTCAGGGGTCACAGGTCAATTGTTACAGAACAGGAAACACAGTTCAAATATTAGAGTCAGGGTTCAGAGGTTAGAAGTTAGGGTTACAATTTACTGGTATAAGGTCAGAGGTCACAGTTCAATAATTACAGAACAGGAATCACAGTTCAAATGTTAGAGTCAGGGTTCAGAGGTAAGAGGTCAGGGTTACAGTTTACTGGTATAAGGTCAGAGGTCACAGTTTAAGACAAAGTATCTTAGTCCAAAGCTCAGAATATTTTTGTGTACACCTCTAACGTATCTCTTACAATCTGGACCCAATGGTCACACACACTGACTCTAGGCTCTTATAGAGCAATCGTTACTCCTGGACCCAATGGTCACCCACACTGACTCTAGGCTCTTATAGAGCAATCCTTACTCCAGGACCCAATAGTCACACACACTGCCTCTAGGCTCTTATAGGTTAATAATCCTTACTCATGGACCCAATGGTCACACACACCGACTCTAGGCTCTTATAGGTTTACAATCCTTACTCCTGGACCCAATGATCACACACACTGACTCTAGGCTCTTATAGAGCAATCCTTACTCCTGGAGCCAATGGTCACACACACTGACTCTTGGCTCTTATAGAGCAATCCTTACTCCAGGACCCAATAGTCACACACACTGGCTCTAGGCTCTTATAGGTTAATAATCCTTACTCATGGACCCAATGGTCACACACACCGACTCTAGGCTCTTATAGGTTAATAATCCTTCCTCCTGGACCCAATGGTCACACACACTGACTCTAGGCTCTTATAGGTTTAATCATCATTATTATCAGGAATCAAAGCTTCAGATCAGATGATTGTGACAATATTATCTTTAAAAGAGTTAACAGAAATGTGCTATTAGAGGAACTGAAAGTTAGATGTATGATTTGAGAGATGAGGGGGGGTGGGGGT